GAGAGGGAGGTGGGAGGGGGGATCGGGATGGGGAATACATGTAAATCCATGGCTGATTCATGTCAATGTATGACAAAACTCACTGCAATGTTGTGAAGTAATTAGCCTCCAACTAATAAAAATAAATGAAAAAAAACAAATAAATTTTAAAAAAATTAAAAAAAAGAATACCCTAACTATCTGTGTAACTGAATAGAATTATACATTCTATTATGCTTATTGGAGTATGACCATAGGCCTATTGATAATTGTCCACTGTTAACTGCCTAGGCTTAAGGCATTTAATCATGGTTAACTTTGATTGTATCTTTCTTTTTCCTTTGTTCAGACTAGTTTCAGGGAACCTTATACACTTAGGGTATACAAGGTTTTCACAAAACTGGTCAGGGGGCCTTGGCTCAGAGGAGACTCTGCCTTGGGCCCGCCAGTGTAATAAACTGCACTCCACTATCTGCATTATCCTTCTGAGTGAGTTTGTTTCCCGGAATGCATGGCTACAACAAAATGAAAAAAAATTTTTCATTTGTTTTCAACTTTTCTTTAACTTCTAAATTTTCTGTCATAAGCATGTATATGACTTTTATTTTTAAAGCTAGATTTTTTTTTCTTTTTGTTTTTTCTTAGTTTATGGCTTCACCATGCAGCATGTGGGGGTCTTAGTTTCCCAACTAGGGATCAAACCCACTCCCTTTACTTTGAAAGCATGGAGTCTTAACCACCCAATTGCCAGGAAGTCCCATGCTACATTTTTAATGGAACAAAATTAACTCTATTTAATACAACAGCATAAGAATATCGATTAAATCCTAAGATCTTTGTCAAATAAAGTTCACTCTAAAATCACTTAGTCAAATAATAGTAAGTAACATCAGATCATTAATGAAGCTTTGAGCATTGGTTGAGAGAATTATGTTTAATAGCATGTAACTGCCAGGCACTGTGGGGAAAGAGATCAACATGCCAAGCCTCCCCTCTCATGGAGTTTCTGATCTGCCTAAAGAAACAAGACACACTAATGAGAAGTTAAAAAATAATAGACTTCAATATCATTTGAAAGTTACGGCAGAAAAAGATATGCACAGCTAAACTTTAAGGCTGGATTTGAGTCGCGTAGCCCTTGGCTTGCAACAGGCTTCTAACTAGTCTTATGTCATTCACCTTACCTGCCTCCAGCCATTCTCCATCTACCATGAGTCATTCATTCATCCCACAAATAAGTACTCAGAGTCTACTACACGCCAAGTACTGTTCTAAGCCCTGGGCTATAACAACAGGTAGGAAAAGGCCATTTACTTTGTGAAAGTTACATTCAAGTGAGAGGACAGTCAACTTTCAAAGCAATTTCCAAAATAAATAAAATGTATACTAGAGGTAGTAACTGCCATGAAAGAAAAGAACAGGAAAAAGGGCTGGAGAGTTGTGGAGGTGAAAGGGGAGTAGTTATTGCATTGAAAAAATAAGTGGATCAGAGAAGGCTCACTGAGAAAGGGACGTGTGAGCCAAGATTTGAAGGACATGAGGGAGTGAACTGTGTGGATATCTGGGGGCGAACTGTTTCAGGGATAGAAAATAGCAAGTGCAAAGGCCCTGGGGCACATAATGTCTTCGAGGTGTGTGAGAAATAGCAAGGAGGCCAGAGTTAGCCTGACAGGGAGCGAGATAGAGGACTCGAGGTGAAAGCAGGAGAGGGTGGAGGTGGGCAGGCCCCAAGGAGTTGTGAGACAACATGAGGACTTGGCTTTCCTTCTAGTCATCACAGCACACAGAAGGCACTGAGGAGAGTGGAACAGGGCGCCCAAGGTTCCAAGTAGGACGGAAATGATAAAGGCATGCTCCAATCATCACAGTTAAAATCACATCTTCATTTTTGATGAGAAGGAGTAGGGCTTTCTCAATGATGCAGCTGTCTATAGGCTTTTAAATGTAATTTTTAACTACAAGACTTATACTGTTTATGCAAATTATACATGTGGTTCCTTATAACTTTTTAAACTGTTAAAAATAAGAGCTTACCAATGACCTTTCTTTCTCCCTCTCCCCCTTCATGAAAAATATCTATTATATTTTGTAAAGAATTTGAACAGAAGATAGATGGATGAAAAATCACTTTATGGATATACCACAATTTATTAAACATTTTCCCACAGTTGGGCACTCACTTTGCTTCCACTTCTTGGCCACTACAGACACCATTATACATGTGCCGGGACGTATCAGTATCTTCATTCTATGCCACAGGCCCCAGGAGTAGGAGCGAAGTTCAGTAAGTTGCCCCATTAGCTCCCCAAAGCAGCAATGCATCCCCCAACAACGCAGGAGGACTTTCTGTACATAGATGTTGTTATTCCCCTACGTGAGTCCCCCCTACCAACCACCCCCTTCCATAAGTTAAAACTCCCAAGGCTCAAGTGGGGAGCTTCCTAGATCTGGCCCCAGCCTCCCTTTCTACACACCTCCCTTTTCCATCTTCCCTCAAACCTTAGCACCCTCACCATAAACACACTACACTCAGGGCACACTCAACCTCCCTGTTTCCCAAACACGGCAGTCTTTTACAACCCATGCCCCTGCCTTGCACAGATAGTTCCTTAGACTGGAATCTTTTTTTCTTTCTTCTCAACCAGGCAAGCTCCTATTCACCATGCGATACTGGACTCTAATGTTACCTTCTCTGAAAAGCCTCAGTCAGAGTTCATCAGCTGCCCCCCAGCAGCTCCCACCTCTTCATGTATCCTCCATTAGAGCCTAATAACATTCTATTGCAATTTGTGTATCTGTCTGCACTCTGCACATCCTATGAGGGACAGTCCCTCATATCTGGTTTATTACCAGTGCCTGACAGATCCCAGCTCCATCTAGAATGAGTGGCAGGCATCTACTGCTCTACCTCTGCAGGGGGACTCTACACGCCTCCACCATTCCACCTCCCAGGGAAGGGCACCAAGAACAAGGTCGACTGAAAAAAAAAAAAATACACAATCTAAAAATTGAGAATTATGTTTTATTTGACAAACAAAACAGAGCACTTCAAGTCCCGGAGGCAGCCTTTCAGAAGAGCTCCAAGGGACTGCTCCAAACAGGTAACGAAGGAGCCAGGATATATAGGGGGTTTTGCAGCAAAGGCCAAGTAGTCAGAACATCAAAACATTACTGTTAAATAAAGAAAACCAGACATCTCAACTTCATGAATATAGCACTTTTTATGTATGGGAAGATGCAAGAGTCAGGACTCCCTGAAATCGTTCTTTTGATATGCATCTCAGCTATCGAGCTATCCAGGGCCAGTACCTTGTTCTTTTCCATCCTGAGTTGCCCCGGTACCCCACTGGCTGCAGGGCGACGCTGCAGAGGCTGAGGGCTTGGCGGCAGGAGGCGCATTTGTCTCCATCCTGAGTTCCCCCCGGGTACCCCACTGGCTGCAGGGTGACGCTGCAGAGGCTGAGGGCTTGGCGGCAGGAGGCGCATTTGTCTCCATCCTGAGTTCCCCCAGGGCTCACCTTCAGGGAGCTATAGTGGCTTGATGGCTGTAGCATCCTTCGTTTACTGATACACCGGCAACATTTTTCATTCATGACAACATGATTAGAAAGGGGATACAGGAGATGGAAAAATATATGCCCATCATGTTCTAGAGACACAGAACTGGGAGGCAAACTGACCTAGGGGCTTTTAAGGGGCAACCAATAAGCCAGTCACTCACCCACTGACTCATTCTCTCCATAAATGCTTAGGAGGGGACATCTGTTGTTTTTGTCTTCCCAGCACCCTCCCTCCTTCCATCAACGGCAAAGGCAAGCCACATTAGCTGCCTGGCCTCTTGGTGGGGCAGTGTAGGCGTCAGCATTTCCCTCCTCTTTGGGAGGGCCCCTGCTCCCAAACATAAGGTGGTCCCCCAGGAGCCCTGTAT